CAACACCGTACTGTTTCAAGTCATTTTTATATAGCACTTTTCTACTGATTTAGTGCTGTACTTCTCTTTCCTTAATGCATTGGTGCCTGCCAATTCAGTTCTGCCCACTTTTTGTTCTTGTGTTAATTACTGGGTGAAAAACATACCTGTTCCTGAAGTAGTGCTATACCTGACAGGTATGGTTTCTTTTCATATCCTTGTATACACCTGTTCTTTCAGTGCGGTCACTTTCCACTTGATTGGATATTGATGCGCCTTCACCGCGCCCTACACTTTTGCTATGTGGGATTATAATTTTGGGAGAGAAGAGGTACTTACCTCCTTTCACCCACTTCCCACCCTTCCTCCCCACTGATATGCCAATGTTTCCGGTTTGTACATGCCAATTCTCAAAAATGAAGATTATTCTAGAATAGAAGAGGGAGCTAGCTGTGCTAGTATAGATGGTGCAGTATGATTGGTGGAAGGTAGTCACGTGATCTGAAATGGAGCAAAACTGATGGAGTATAAAAGAATGGTGTGCTGTTAGCAAAAATTTTAGCAATGGTTAGAGGGCAGTCCAGGATCGAGATAGCTTTGGGTGATTAGTGGTAAGTACCTATGGGAAATACATTTTCAGTGTAAAAAAATTTTAACTTTCAACTTGTTTCATCTTTTTTGGTTGAGTAGTTGTAATTAGTGCTCATCAACTTGGGTTGACTTCTCCAGGTTCCAAGACCTGATCACCAGAATGAGAAGCTGGGGTTTTGTACTCTTGACGAACCTAGAACAAAGCAGTCAGATCCAACAGTGTTAGACCTCCATCTAAGTGTAGTGACCAAAGAAACCACTGTCAAAACTACAGTAAGACGAGTAACATTTTGTCAGTAGGAGTCATGGAAAATGCTTCATTTTAATCTTTGTTAAGTTACCAACCCTATTGTGTTTTTAACACATTTTAGACAATTTGGTAATTTGAGGGTTAACTCATTACTTGTGGTTGTAAACTTGTCCAATAACTGATAAGCCTATAATATGTCAGAAAAAATGTGATTTAATAAATGGTTCAGGTACAAAAGTTATAAGCTTTATTCTTTCTAAATGATTAATTTACTCCTATTAATTATAATTTAAAGGGACATTACTTTATCATCAGGAAGAAAAAAAAAACTGAAATGTATTTGTTATGTAACATTCATTGAATTTTTAAGTTTTCTTTAACTTAGTGTAGTGAACCATTCTTCCAGACAGTAAAAAAGTTATATAATGCAGACAAAAACAGCAAAGAAATTGACAACTGGATAAATGATATCGGACAACTACATCTTTTAAAACCTCTTCAGACTGTCTATTATTCAGAGTAAGAAAAACCTAAGATTATTAAAATAGTACCTTGATCAAAGACAAGTTAAAAACTTGAAAACCCAAAAGATAAGGATAAGAATTAAGTCCATTGCATCCAATACAACCCACAGAATTTATGTTTAGATATGTAAATTTAATAGCAGAATGACAGAAGAACCAGTGGCTCTTTTCTGGTCTGTTTGGCTATCTTTTCTTCATTGGCAGACTGAAAAGGAACCACTGGTGCTTCTATATTTTTTCTATTAAATTTACACAACTGAACTGAAATACAAGGAATTGAATTTTCTGTAGCACTTGGCCATAATATTTACCTTGATCAATTTATCTCAATGAAATGATTATTTAATAACTAATCTCATTCCTACAGTCAAAGGACATTTTTATCTGATATACTACTTAAATTGTGTATATATATAAGAAACATTTAAGCATGAATATATAAAGTTGCAAGTTTATTGTAAACATCTGTATTTCTTACTATTTCATTTTTTTATAAATAACTGTCTTCTGTATTTTTCTGTTTGATTATAATGATATGTTAAACGATGTTATATGGCAAAAATCTGCTTCCTTAATTAGCCAAAATAAATGTTTTTCTATCTTTGATTATAATAATATGTTAAACGATATCAAGTGGCAAAAATCTGCTTCCTTAATTAGCCAGAATAAATGTTTTTCTGTGTTTGATTATAATAATATGTTAAACGATGTTAAGTGGCAAAAATCTGCTTCCTTAATTAGTCAAAATAAATGTTTTTCTGTGTTTCGTTATAATAATATGTTAAACGATATCAAGTGGCAAAAATCTGCTTCCTTAATTAGCCAAAATAAATGTTTTTCTATCTTTGATTATAATAATATGTTAAACAATATCAAGTGGCAAAAATCTGCTTCCTTAATTAGCCAGAATAAATATTTTTCTATTTGATTATGATAATATGTTAAACGATATCAAGTGGCAAAAATCTGCTTCCTTAATTAGCCAAAATAAATGTTTTTCTATTTGATTATGATAATATGTTAAACGATATCAAGTGGCAAAAATCTGCTTCCTTAATTAGCCAGAATAAATATTTTTCTATTTGATTATGATAATATGTTAAACGATATCAAGTGGCAAAAATCTGCTTCCTT